CGGGCAGCGTGTTGGCAGCCGCCGCCGTTTGGAGGAGGAGGGGTCGCCCCAGAGCCGCCGCAAGCTTGCGGGAGGCCGGGTTTTGCTCCTTTTATGCGCTCGAGGCTCTGTAGGGGAGAGCTTTAGGGGTGCATTTTTGCCACATGTGTTGCTTGCAGTGAGGTCACAAAAACCTACCTACTTTAATACAGTCACTGCAGTCAGTTCAGTTTTCTCAGGACAAAGAATTCGGTGGTTTTAACTGTTAATGTTTTGCCATTATAAATGAAAAGCTATGTAACAATTAATTTCGTGTTTTTGGAGGCTTGACTGTGAAAGGTATTGTGTGTGAAAGTGAAAGAGGTTCATTGCTGGAGTACCAGTCAGGCGCTAATGTTATGGTGTGCTTTTATAGGTAAGCTCTTTACTGATGACCGTCAGTAGTGAGGCAGCGCTGCAGCTTGCAGTCCTGAGAAAATTCTTGTTTTACATCTGTGGAACTGCTAAACTAGGTCTAGCAGTACTACTTTGACTAAACTGTCATGGTTATTTTCTGGTTTTATTGTAGGTATGTCTTGTTTTGTTGACAGGCCATGTTTTTGGAAACTCGTAGATTCAGTGGCAATATCGGTTGTACAATCAGAACATGCCTTCCTTCAACAACCTCATTGAGAAGGCATTTCCAGCATCTGTATGCCATCATAAGGAAGTGTCAGGTTAAGGTACATTAAACTTACTTTATTTCTTTATTAATTTTCCCCCAGAGTGCTGTAGATGCTTGCATATGGGTCACTCAGGCACGTGCTTTTTTTGTCTGTATCTCAGATATTACTAGCTACTAAATTGTTTGTTGGGCCATGCGGCACTCTACGATATACTGAGTGCAAGCTGTATCTTGGTTGTCTTTCAGAAGCTCATGCTGCTAAAATGAGTATAGGTCTTCTTGGATTATCAGCTTGAGAATAGTATTGAAAATATAAGTTAACCTAACTGCATCATATTTAATTACATATGGTATTTGATTATTTCATAATCTTGCTTATAGAAACTGAAGGCTTTTATTCTTTTTTTTGGCTTTTTGGATCAAAAGATGTTCTAATTTTTAGGTCGTATCTGTTTGCCAAAGAAAGGAGTATGGACCTACTCGAAGTGTTGTTCGTAGACTTGGCACAATTCTTTCTTTAGAGCCTTGCCCGAGACCTTATTTTCAAGTAAGTAATTTACTGTTATACATACCCTTCAACTATTTAAAATATCTACTTCCTTAGTGTAGCGACAGCTTTCCTGCTCTTTTTAGCTTGTGTAACTAGTGTTACATCCCTTCTGGTTGCTATTTTCAACTTGCTTACAGCAATATGTAAAACTCTCTGTTGCTCAGGCAAAACTTTTAGTGCGTACTGAGTCCAGTTTCTTCTCCTGTATTTTTTGTTTGTTTCTAGCTTGTTCAAGAGCTAAGTCCATCGGATTATGATGAACAAAGCGCAGCTCCGGCTCCTGTAGTTCCGTCACTTGGTGATGTCCTGTGGGTGGCAAGTGATGAGGGACAAGCATTTACTAGATTTAGGCAAGTAACAGCAGAATAAGTGCATTCAAAGGACATGATCACGTCTCCTGTCCATTTGTTTTCTGTTGCCCTTTCTGAGTTGAGTAAAACAAACTCTGGAAGTTTTCTCTGGTTTTCAGGAATTCCTGCTTGCCTGGAAGTTCTTACTATGTCAGATGTTCTTCTCTGAAAGATTTCTGAACTTGAGTTTCCTCTTTCCTCTTCTCGATAGCATGTCAGATGTGTTACTGATATTTTAATATGTGGTTTTGCTCACAAAATATTTTGTTAGAGAGGGAGTTTAAGGGAATTTTATTTTTAATGGCATATCATAAGATTATTCCTATTTCATTTCAGTTTACAAACGTAGTGATAAACATTACAAAAGGGAAAACAGAAGGGAAAATACTTACATTTTTCCTTTTGATTTGGATTCCTACAATGCTACATGTGTAAACTTCGATGGTTGCCTGATGGAAAGAAAAATATGATTTCTTCATTTTTAACATTTACCTTGAACATAGTTTGTTTTGTCTCTGTATTTTTTTTAGCTTTTACAGAGTGCTAAAGGAAAATCTTTTTAAAATGATAAAATATGGCAAATACTGTGAAATAACAAGTTATCCAGAAATTTGCAGACACATGTAGTACTCAGGTCTCTTTTCCCCCTCTTTTCTCTCGCTAGAGAAGAAAGAAATCAAAAGTTGATTTACTGTTTCTCTAAAGGATCTATTCAAAATCAGATGGTGAGTCAGAGAGCCAGAACAAAGATTAACTTTGGACACTCATATTGTCTTATACTACATCTATACCGAATAATGTAAATTCTAGTTTATATTTATTTGCATGTGTTTGCCTTTGATCTTTGTGTTGCTTGCTGATTTAAAAAAACAAAAACAAAAACAACTACAAGCAATCAATTTGGAGTGACCCTTTTTATTAGAGAAGGTGTATTACCAATTATGTTTTTTCTCATGATGCCTGAGATGTACTGTTGAATTATTGAAGCTTTTTGCAGCAAGAGGAAAATACTGGAAAAAATTGAACGTTGTTAAAAGGAACTGTGACCTGTTTTGTGTTTCCTGTGCTGTTCTTTAGCCACTCTAATCTACAGATCCATGGAAGTTTATTTTTCTGTTGTTTCCATTCTTTCCTTCTCCCCTGGCTCTGTGGAATGCTTTTGAAAGACAATACTGTAATCCATATATTTTCCTTTTGAGTCAGTGTGAAAAGCAAGGGGTTTTGGCAAGTCAGAAAACAATGCTGCAGGTATGGCTTGGAATAAAATGATGATGCGTATAATGGAAAAAGGCCCGATTTTGTTTACTTTAAAAATTGATCAATTTATAATAAATAAATAAAGGAAATTTCATTTGTTTGGTTGTTTCATAATCTCATGCTGATAGTTTCTTGAGTTTACCCCCATTCTATATTTCAAGAGTATTTCTGCAGCCACATACTTGAAAGCATTTTTAGAATTAAAACCTGAAATCTGTAACACAGTTTTCTAAAGCAGTCTGTGTTTATACGTGGTTATTAGTTACAGAATAAGAACCTTATCTTCTGAGTATTAAAAATCATGATTGAAAGCATATTTTATGACTATTCTCAAATATTTTTTTCAGAAAGGTTATAACTTCTTAGCTGCATGCAGTGTTCATCTTGCAGAGGTTGATGAATGACTCAAATGTGTGAAGCCTAATTAAGAGATCATTATTACCTGATGCTTCCTGAATTTGTACTTACTGTTTCAGGAGGTGAGGAGGAAGATGCATTTTTATGGTGTCAATTTAATAGTTATTGAATAGTAGCAACTCAATCCTACATTATGACTTCATGAAATGGATATATAATCTGTCCCTGAGAAAATTCTGTTTTTGATGATGGATATCTTACTTGAGCTAAGAGAGAGAGAGAGATTTAAAACATGTTTTGAGGGTATGAGTAGTTGAAGTGTAAAGTTTACATGTGTTTTTAAATAGGTTGCAAATCTGATATCTTGCTGAATGAATGATGATGACCTGCTTGAACCAACACTGAATAATTATTGCCAGAGTCCAAGTGTTTAATCTTTTTGGTAGTCTTCAGATGTTTCCGTTGCTGGCTGAAACTTTTAAATTGTTCCTTTGTGACTTTGTAGTCTTTGTTCCTTTCTAGGACTGAATTATGGAGAAAAGAAAAAAGTACAGTTCACCATGACCTACATCCATCTATAGTTTGCATATCAAGTGTTCCAAAAAACACTACACAAAAAGACAGTCTTCTTGATCAAGAAGCACTCCAGAAGATTTCTGCACTTGAAGATGAGTTAACCTTTCTTCGTGCTCAAATTGCTGCGATTGTTGCTGCACAGACATTGGGAAACATTCCATCACGTAAGCCCTTTGGTTTGAAGCAAACCAGTATTTCTTTTTTTGCTTTAGTTCTTGTTCACAGTTTGCAGTGTCTCTGAAACTGACACTAAAGAAGTACCTTCTTTAACTGAAGTGGAACCAACAAAATTTGTAGAGTACGGTATTTTGTTTGTCTTTTTAATATTTGTGCTTTTTCTTTCTCATTTCCTTCTTTTTATGGCCTGTTTGTACATTTCAAATGAAGTTGATGCTAAGTGATCTTTATACTTATTTCCCTATTTGTGGAGAAACTTAATAACAATGTAGGCTACCAATTACTACTTTAAAAGTTATGGACTATTAATTATCCCTTTTTTCTTTCGTACTGTTTTGGACAAGTTACCAAAGCAGGGAAAACATATTGTAAGGAAGTCGAGTCTTTAGCAAAAACTCTGGTGGCTGCTAGGCACATCTATCAGAGATTGGAGTTTGTATAGAAAGCCAACCGTCTGTTAAGTCTTTTTATCAAATGTCTTGTGATTTCTCTTAGATGTTTTGAAGTCCTGACTTGTCTTACTTTCAACAACCACAGCCCGGTCAGTTTGCGACATTTGAATTGGTGTGAGGTAGTTACGTTTGTGTGGCATTGTGCCATGTGAACGTAACAGCTCGGGGACCTCTGTGCTTCAGTTAGCTGTTCTGCTGGCTCTTCTTTTGTCTGTTCTCCATTGCGTTCTGTATACAGTTTGCTAGTCTTGTTTTACGTGACTTGTAGTTATTTTTGCTTTTGCTTCATCTGGGTTATTCTAACCCCTAGACCACTGAGAATGACCTGGCCTTGCAGGCTGCTTTGCCGTTGCATGTTCCTGATCTGTCCAGTGCACAGACGGAAGATAGAAATGGAGAAAATCCTGATCTCACAAGCCCCCTCAGATCTGTTATTTCATATGTCCTTTGAAATCAAAACTGTTCATGGTTTTAAGTGCGATCACTTTCTTCTGTGCTATAGTATGTGAGGTGGGTAAGAAAGCGCTTGAAGAGGACTGTTTTATCTTAACTTAAAATTGAGTGGTCCTAGACTTTCCTTAATGTTGTTTATGACTAAGGTACTACTAGTGACTATTACAAATAAAATCCCTGTTTTTCTATTAGAATTACATCCAGAAACCTTTAAAACATTCAGCACCCCAGATGGATCTTACCCAGTGCCAGCAATGACTTCTACGCCCTTGTCCGTCTCTCACAATCACTTTGTAATTCCTTCACCTCCTCCACTTCCCTCTGGTGCACCATCTGGTGCAGATGCTAGTAATTCAGCAATTGAACTTATAAAACAACGTCGTGCTGCAAGAAAGAGTGGTTCAACTACAGCTGATAGTGCTGATCACCAGAGGACAAAGAACGTTCCTAGTATGATGGATGTTTTGAAAGACCTAAACAAGGTTCAGCTGAGAGCTATTGAGAGGTAGGTTTAATTATGTATTTGAGAGGAAGTTAATACTGTGTAAGCATCGAGCATTGAAGTAGCAGCAGCAAAGAACACCAGCGCAGAACATCATTTAATAAGCAGCTACTGCTGGCGAACTTAGGTTGTCAACTTTTAAGTTCACGGCTTGAAATGTAAGATACTTGTGACGTGGTTTAAGTTGCATTTAGAAATGCTGTATCTCGCATCATTTAAAACTAGTCCTGCATTGATATACAAATCTCTTCTCTCCCCCCTTTCCCCCCCATTTTTTTGAGACTGGGGCTATCTGAAGATCACTTAGAGTTTTATGTGCAGTCACAGGAACTGGTCTGAATAAATAAACTTTTTTGGATTCACTGTGAAAGGGCACATTGGAAACACTGAGGAAACATTGTAAACAGTGAATATATCCAAAATACTCTGGTCTTAGCTTTGAAGTCTTAAAATAAATGTTGTCTCTTTTAGATTATAAATATTTCTGATGGTCTGCAGTTTTGATTTTAAGCATGGTTGACGTGCATTTACAAAAATGCTTTACTAATGACTGTAGGTGTAGTGCCTCCTCTCATCGGCGTTGGTTTGTAATGCTAGATGTGATAGAGGTTGTCATATGTTTTTTCTGAACTTCCGGAGTTGACAAAGAATGTATGTATTAACAAGAACGACTGAATCTTTAAGAGTGTCTATTATTTATTAACGTGGAAAGAATTTCACCTAGTAAAACTTAGACTTTTAGTTAAATGTTTTCTCAACTATGAGCTTTATCCCTGAAAATAATTAGTGCTAAGTGTGGGCAGATTATTTGTATGCATCTCTGAAGTATGTCTGTATGCTTTTGATGACATATTTTCCCAAGTAAATTAAGAAATATAAAGTACATTAAGGTAAACTTGTGTGTAAGCTTCACCTGCGTATTTTGCTGTTAGTCTTTTTAACACAAAATCTGAGCTGTGGTATTCTTGAAAATAAAAGTCACTTTTTGCATGTTCATTTTAGACTATTTAGTCTTTCAGACCTATATGGCTTTCTGATAGGTAGGTTAGCATTATGGCATCAAACTATGAGATATTTGGCTCAGGGATAGGTTTCACATTTAGGCTTCTGAATGCCATATATGGTGAATAAGGAAAGTGATGGTTTTTAAAACTCTCATTCCTAAACATTTCATGTTGACCAATGACGTATTTAGTGGGAAATTACAGGTGTGCATCTGAAATGCTTCCTGGATCTGGACATCTACCTGCGTTGCCTAGGTAGAGCTTAAATGAAAAATGAATTTACATCTGTAATCTTTCCTCCTGTACTTGGGCATAAGTCACTTTCCTGGACAAACATGACCTTTTATAGCATTGCTGGAGGGAATAATGCTGATAGAAATTATAATAATCTTTCAGACAGTAGTCTCTTTTGACAGTAGTTTAACATGTGTACTGTGAGGGAAAGACTTCTATTCTCATAAGTCTGAAGCCTGAAGATCCTAGTTTCCACCACCTGAGCACCACTTTATATGTCAGCTGGGATTTTGTATGAAGGGTGGGCTCAATTCTTCCAGCTTTCATGTTAAATGAAATCTGCTGTAACTTGCAGACCTTGCAATGAGCTCACTGCTGTCAGCGTGTATTAGGTACAACCCCCTGGCCTGTAGATAGCACTTTACAAGTGCTCACATTTGTGCTATTAGATTTTCAATGATCTAAATGGTTAGAAAAGCTTTCTTATTAATTATTTTATTGGATTGCTCACTAATTTCCATATTTATGTTAGAGTTCGGGGAGTTAGGTGCTGTTTTGATCTTGCTTTTTTTTTTTTTTGGCTTTTAATTTAACGAGAGCAGTTTTTCTAAACTCGAATACAAGCTCTCTAATTCTTGTCTAGTTTTTGCTTATGTATGTCATATTTGGATGCTCAGGTACTCACTTGAAAGGAAAAACTGCCTTTGAAGTGTTTATGCTAAATATGATTTTTTTTTAATAATAAATCTTCATTTAAAGTATGACTGATATTTATAAACGGGGCTTTATGGCCACCTGAATGCCACCTTGACATAAACAAGGTGTGTGTTTCTCCCTCCCCCCCCCAGTATAGTTACTTTAAATGTAACAGCTTTGAGAGATTTGGTAGGTTTTTTTCTTTTTTGTGAGACCAGAAAAAGGCATACTGTTCTGACCTGAAAGTTTGAGGCAAGTTTGTATCCATTTTTGACGTAATTCGATTTTAAATGTATCAGTAGGAACCACCCACTAGTTTGCTTTAATGTAACTCATGAAAGAGACCTGCTATTAAAACTATACTTTCTGCGTTAACCATAATACTTGAGCACTTCCTGTTGATTTCATACTGTTTTTCTTTACAGAACAGCATCAAGTTGTGGTTTCAGGCTAGGAATCTGACTGACAAGTTGTTGAGTTTACTTTTATTAATCTGGTTTGGTGAATTGCTGTAAAATTAACAGCTTTACTTGTGTAATCAAATTTTATAGGAGGTATACAAAAGCTAATCTTTCTGTTTTTTTGATTGCTCAGCACAGGAATAAGGGCAGGAGATAATCTTTGTCTTTGTGCTTATAGGTCACCTGGAGGTACCCCTCTTTCTAGACCCAGAAGAAGGCAGAGTTCAGATTGGGATCCAGTTGCTTTACTAACTCATGCACTAAAGCAGAAATTTGCGCATAAAAATGAAGAAGATGATTCACTGGACAAAGAAAATCGATCCTTCGATAGCTCCCCGTTTTCTAGTCCAGAGATCTCTTTGGTATGTTCTTACATAAGAATGTTTTCTTATATTCTTGAAGTGATTTGCCACTTGCATCAATAGTTGTGGGAGTTTTGAGAGAGTGTAGAACTTGTCCAAAATGTTTTTTTTAAAACATCGGCTTAGATGGCTGCTTTTTTTTTTTCTTTCTCCCCCAAGTATAATCAAGGATGAGAATTGCAAAAGACCTACTGTTATAGGTGGATTTAGACTGGTAAATAAACTTCCAGATGCACTAAGAGGGTAAAACTAAAAGACTGAGTTTAAAGATTCAGCCCATGGTTGACTGAACTTTGGAAACTTACTTGATGGTAATAACGGGTATCCAGGCATAGAAACTGTATGTCTAGTTGGTAATGCTGATTTTATTTTTACAGATAAAGATATCGGGAATGTACAGAGAGGTCTGATTAAGAAGTGCTGTGTGTTCAAAAAACAAAATGAAAGCATTGGGTGTATTATTTTTCTTGAGGTGACATTTTTTTGCACATTTTACATCTCTATCCAGAATTAAAGTGTGATTCTGAACGTTCTTGCCAAGCCTTGAAAAACAGTCTTTGCTATGGACAAGCAACATGCCATAGGCAGAGTCCCATCACCCTAAGGTGATTCTGAGTGCTGGTTTCTGTAGAGCAGTCTGTGCAAGCTGCATTAACTCAAGCAGTCCAGCAGTGCTGTTGGATGTTTTCTAGAGACTTCTGCAAATGTCAGAGTTGATTAGGTCAGAAAGGTACAAATAAGTGACACTTACTTAAACTGTCTCTTTCTGCTTAGCAATTTCATGTTTATATCTTAAGAGTGAAGTAAGAATCTTGTATTTGGTACTGTGGTATTTCTAGCCTACTAGAGGGAAATAATATTGCAAAACATATTGTGGGAATTCAGGCATTTTTTGGAGGCTGCTGCTGTACTCATGGCTAGCTTCTTGACTGAAAAATTAAGTAAAAATTATGGTCTACTATGTTTCTGTCTCCTGCTGTACAGATTTTTTTTTGAAAAATATTTCAAGTGCCGTAAGGATTTCGCATGCGAAATGTAGCATACGTTTTACACAGGTTGTACTGAGGCAACAGGTCTGGGGCAGTCTGAGCCAAGTACTTCTGACTTTTTTTTTTTTTTTTAAACAAGAAATTGGAAGCATGTTAAAACAATCAAGCTTGCGTTTTTGGATACTGCTGACCATTGCATTGCATAACTACCATATCTGATTCTAAATACAAAGATCAAAGTTAGATCCTGGAATAGCTTTTGTGAATCCCAATTATAAAGTCTTAGAAGAAAGACTGCTTAAAACCAGCCTGTTTTAAGAATAGATAAAGGAGAAAGATGGGCTTCTCTAATTAATGTAGAGTCTCAACTGCAAACTCATGCTTATTTCTAATTGTGTACCATTGGATGTTTTGAAGAATAAATGTACTTAAAGGAATTGCATAGGCTTCTCATTTTATCCTTCCCAGGATGAGAGGAAAAGTGCAACTATTCCTCCAAACAGTCTTTATTGAAAACATCTTTTCCTTTAGTTGTCTTGGAAGTAATGTTATTTAATTTCATCCCTGTTTTCCAGGTTGGACGTTGCAGTCTGAAGCCCGATGCAAAATCTAGCCTCATAAGAACAGATGAAGTTAAACAGAGAGCAATGTGGAAAACGAGAGCTCATATTTAATTGGTGGAGACTTCTGAGGAAAGAATATAGTATGTGTATTTTTAAGTGGCAGGTCCACTTTGTGAAACTGCTGTAATCTGTGCTAGAATATGTTTCTCCTATGCTGGTGAAGCTAGGATTTGTAAAATTACCTTTTCCTCAGTTTCCCAGGAGTCAAACTTGTGAACGTGATGCTTTTATGAAAAGCATGCAACCAGAAAAGGGGATTTATTGCTATGGAGCAGCGTGTTTGAAACCTGGGAAATGCAGAAAGCAGTGTGTATGAAAGAGAAGTAATTTTTGGTGTGGCAGTGGAGGTGTGCATTGTGTCTGCACTTCAGTGTAGATAATGAAGAAATGTAAACTTTTTGTTAGAGCATATTCTGTATAACTGAGTGTATATAGTTAATGGTAATTAATACCGCTGGTTCATTAGGGTGGTACAGTTTCCTTAGTTTTCTTTTCAGTTTGCTAATGCAACTCCATATCCCATGTGCAAGCGATATTCTAATATCTTATTCTGGGTCAGTAGAAAACCTTTCATGTTCATGAAACTCTGTCTTCCTTTAAGTCACTGGCAGGCTGTCTATTAAACGCCTATAATAGAGAGTTGTGTTTTGAGGCAAAAAAATAAGAACTTGGAGGAAGATTTGCTAGCACAAACAGTCTAAATTCCATATATAAATCAACATTAACTGCACTGTGGCCTCTGAGTATCAAGTCTATATTTTGTTCACAGAGTTTATAACTTTATAAAATAAATTTTCCTTTGTATCATGGATATGTGTGGCAGTAGCATTTTTGTCTTGCTGACTGACTTTTTTTGTATCTTAAGAGCTGACGGTATTTGACCACTTATTAAATAATGGTGTTATCTAGAATTAATTAAAATATTGCTTACGTTTTTCATGCCAGAATACTTGATGAAGGAATCTCATCTACAAATTTTTTAGGGTTAACTATTTACAATAGCTGCCTGGACTTCATATTTTGTCTAAAGATCCTGATGTGCAAAATCAGAATCTTAAAAGTTGGACTGTGGACTGTATGTGCCTTGCATATCCATCTGTCTTCTATTTCCCTACCCATGTACACAGGATAGAAAAACAGTGGGATGCTCTCTTACTGCAAAGGCTGTAAGATACTTTCTTGTTTCCTTGCAACCAAAGACTGTTTGCACAGTTGTAAAAAATCATTACTGTGTAAATCCCAAACTCTTTCCAAGTTCTATTTGACTAAACTTGGAACTTGAGTGATTTGTTATCTTATGCTTCTTCAAATCATGTCTTTCAGATAAGGAATTTTCCTGCATTAATTATTAGTAATTATCAAGCTTTATACCACATTCTCCTGTTCTTCTCCCAGTCCAGAGGAGTTTGACTTCTCCTTTCCTCCCCATCTCCAAAATACCCACTTGCCACATTCTGTTCCTTAAATAGAGAATTGTTGCCTGTAAAAACCATATGTGATGTCTTGGTCCTCTGCTCAGCGAGCATAGTCTATTCTGTCCTATCAAAGCTTCCTGTTACCTTTGGTCTCTGGCTGCTGCTTTGGTCTCAGATCTCTTAGGGCAGTGGGGAGCCACAGTGAAGGATGTCCAAGTCATATCTGTAAAAGAGGGTGTGAGAGGGGGTGAGTCCTGTTGAGCATCAACCCCCTAAAATGGAGCATAGCATAGGTTGAGCTCCCTGTTTCTCAGCCACTGAAGTGTGTTGAGATGGAGTGAGTTACCGCCTGTGCTCCCTCAGTGTTCAGAGGGGCAGGGAATCTCAAGAGTTGTGGCCGTTCTGCCAGGACTGACAAATCCCGTGAAGGTGGCCTTTGTGTTGTGAGGGACTGGGTTAGGCTGGGAAGCTCTGGATACAGTAGTCTTGCGTGTTTCCTACTTAAACTGCTTTATGTCACCAGAAGTTTCCGCTCTTTGGGAAGAACCATTGTTTGGGACTCCCTCTTGTGTGCCGCTCTGTTCTCTCCAGAGTCATTGCTTAACTAGAAGCTTGGCCTACAAGGAGCAGAGATCTGCTGAACAGGTTAGGCCTTTAATTTATTGATCTGAAGCCTTGGGGAAAATTCAGCAAGCAAGAATCTGCCTTGGACTATCAAAGCAACTGACATAATATGGATAAATGCCTTCAGCCAGATTTCCCTTTTTCTTTGTCTGAGATTGGTTTACCAATGGTTCCGGGTGTCCTGGAGGCATTCATGATCCTGATTCCTGAGCCAGTTTCTCTGACAGGTTCACAGGTAATCTTATAGGTTATCTTTAATGAGAGTGACGCTGTCCTTAGCTAGGTCGGTATTGCCTTTAAGATTTGTCTGAATAATCTATGGATTGAGTGTGTGTGATTCTTTACAGCATTGCCCTTGTGTGTCAGAACGGGCAATATCAGCCCACTGGGATGAGCCAGAAATAACTGAAACTTCTGGCATTCATATTACCCTCGGACAACAGCATGATTTGGCTTAATAACCGAGTTAATAAGGTCTCATGTCTCAAAACAACTCTTTACTGCAATTATAAGTGAGAAAGTTCAGCTTTTTTTCTCAACAGTATTGTTCTCACAGTTTGAAGTTTACTTTTTTCTGTCTCAGGCTTGAACACTCATGATACTCAATCCTTCTGATGTTGGAGAAGGACTTGAAAGTGTACTCCTGTGTAATTTTAAGAGCTATCTTATAATTGCACTGTCATTCCTGAGTAGTAACTTGACAGATCCTTTATAGGTTCTTTCAGACATCGAGATTATATCATTTTTCTTCCAAGGATATAAAAACCTTTATATTATTCTTCACTACAGTATATTCATAAACTATTTTAAAATTACATTTGGAATAAATTACCCAGCATACCAAAGGGTCTAGCTTCAGCTGGAATGTCTTGGCAGTTTTGATAAATTTTTTTTGAAAATAAACTGATGTAAGCAACAGTTCCCCTGGGAATTCGATGCAGCTCTGAAGGCTTACTGTGTTCTCCTAAAGTTGTAATGACAAACCTTTAGAATTTGAAAGCTGACAGTGAGCAAAACTGTAAAGTCAAGCCATTTTTACATCCGTGTATTTACTTTAAGTTGTTTTATAGTCTTTATTTTCCAGTGCCAGTGCCTACCATCTCATAAAACTCTGCTCATACGTCAGCCTACAGCCCGTTCTTTTCCCTTTTATCTTGTTTAAACTTCTTTAAAATGAAAGTCTAGGCATGACTTACCAAATTCTTTCAGAGGAGTTGTGAAACGTAGTCTCATAATTGACCTTGTAGAGACTAAGTGGTAATTACAGGACTCCCAAGGCAGTTAGTAATTACTAGGACGCTAACTCCTACTAAAATACTTGCTTTTTGTGGTTTTGTTTAAGTTTGCAAACAACTGAACTGATTTCTGCGCTGCTGCCGTTTTGAAGGGTCATGTGCCCTTTCTCGATTCTATTTCCTAGCTGGCACTTTTGTTTTGTGTTTCAAAACTGCTTTGAAAATCTTTGCTCATCGATTAAATCTACTTGAGGTGGATATGAGCTTTTTATTTGGTTATATTTTTTGCAATGCTCCATGTAATTTAGTGTAACTTAATAGCGAAGACATTGTAGTGTTTCTTTAATAAACGTACTCAAATGTTTTCCTTTGTCTTATTGCTTGTACGAAGCATCAGGTATTTTGCAGAATGTAGGTGTTGCAGTTATATCCCAGGCAGTTATTTGAGCAGTCTCTCTTGTTGCCTCAGTATTGTTTTGGCATAATCAGATTGTCTCTTTTGGTCACCAGCTCCTTCAAGATTTTTTCCCTTTTTGAGATGCTAAGGATTATTAAGAGAGAGTATTAATCCTCAGGGGAAAAAACAAATAGATTAACAATTAGAGAGGAGCTGTTACAAGAAAGCACATTTGAACTGTCTAGTTCATCAGCAAGCATGCCTGCCTTGATTAACAAATGCAGTTCTGCCTCTAAGAAATGGGCAATAGGTAAATCTCGTAGGTGCAGATCTGTGAGTTTCCCTCGGAGAGCCTTGGGGTGCTTTAAATTATCCAGTTTAATCTCCCAGGTTTGGATGGGATGTCTGGTGCTTAACTAGAAGGAAGAAGATACTTTTTGTAGAATATTACTGTATAAAGAGGAAAACTTGCATTATTTTTCATAATAATTTGAATTGTCGGAGTATGAAGCTGAAGCCACTGTAAATAACGTAGCGAAGGACGACAAGTATTGGACAATAAGCATAGAAGAGACATCATTAGTTGAGGAGAAAATTTATAAAGTGACCAAAACTAATGCATCTGTTTTGAGGAAAAAATAACTCAAATTATGTGACATAGATTACTGCTTGTATTTGTTAATATAAATAATTCTACTTTTGTTTACTGCAGTTTGATTGACAAATTAAATGTGAAAGGCACAATCTAGAAGGATCTTAGAAAAGTCATCTCCTCTCTGGGTGCTTGTAAATGTTTCCATGGTTTATAACTGTGCACATCATGCACCATAGTTACACCTCGGACTATTTTGTTTAGGAACCCACTGTCTAATTGCTGTGATTGTTTTAACTATATCTAAAATTGCCTTATTGGTAAAGGCTAAAGACGACAGCTGTCCTTTTGCCTGAGAAAGAACAGACCAGTACATTTTGTCCATTTCAATATTATTTGCCTGGATTATTTAAAAATTCCCATGCTTCAGAAATTCTTTCTTTCTCCTTAAAACCAGTAACTGACAGAAATGATGTCTATTTATCATCAGTTTTCCAATGTACTTTTTGTGTCTGTAACTTTTTGGCAAACAAAAGCCAAAATGTCTTAATAGAATGTGTGCGTGTGTTAATAGAATAGTTGTCTAGAATAAGATAACTGATGTTAACTCAAGTGTCTGAGATATTTAATTTATGTTAGGATATCTCAATATTCAGTTAAAAATGAATCATTTTGGCCCTATTCAGTTAAAAATGAATCATTTTGGCTCATGTTTAACAAAACTAGAAAAGAAGTAACTGAAAGTCAGAGGGCTCAATCTGTCAAGAATAATACTTAACATTTCAGAAGATTTGAGATTGGTTATTACACTTGGGTAGCTGTGAATATGAATCCTTATTTATTCAAATGTATATGGAAGCACCAAAGTTAAGTATTTGAACTTGTCATCCTAGCAAAAAATGGAGAAGCTAGATCACTTCTTTAAATTCAAACATGATATTTGTACATGAAGACTGGAATAGGAGTTTGATTTTCAATATCATAACTTTGCTCTATTTTATCTAGCTACTTATGTTGAAAGACATTTTTGATAGTGTTTGACATTAGTTCCAGCATTATTATTTATTTAGAAACTTAGCCCTTCTTTTGATATTTATTTTTCTCAATAATCCTGTCAGTAGGATCTTTCCTTCTACAGTGGGAATTTGAGGTGTGTGTGTGTGTGTGCATATATATATGTATATATTCATATGTATATATATGTATATTTTTTTTTCCTCCTATTGAACTAAAAATAGTGTGGCTCTAGCTAGGTTTGCAGTCCTTTTTGCACTTTTTTTTTTTTTTTAATCCTGCTTACACTTTTATTCAGGCTATCTCACCCCTTAATGAAGGCTAAAGAAAAATCTAAAAGCAGTTTATGTAATTGCATGAGCAGGAGTGTTTAGACAATCATTTTGACTGTTATTGGTATGGAATTATTCACACCTTCTGTTTAAGACATAATTAGGCATTTACAGAATCACAGAATGGTTGAGGTTGGAAGGGACCTCGGGAGATCATCTAGTCCTACCCCCCTGCTCAAGCAGGGTCCTCTAGAGCATAT